TTTGTTTGGCGTTTGTAGTTTTAAAAATAAAGTTTGTTTCTTTTGACAAGTGGCTCCTGAATTGTGCCCAGCCAGACTGCGGCAAAAACAGATATGAAGACCAATGAAATATAATAGAAAACGCAGAGATAAATACAGTTATCTCATCCTAGACAAAGACACCAAAAACATACATTAGAAAAAAGATATCTTCTTCAACAAATGGTGCTGAGAAAACTGGAAATTCATACATAGCAAAATTAAATTAAACTCCTAACTCTCACCTTGCCCAAAACTCAATTCAAAGTGGATGAAGGACCTAGGCATTGGATGAGAGACCTACCACCTACTAGAAGAAAAGGTAGGCCCATTTCTCTATCATGTCTCTTTAGGAACCAAATTCCTCAAGAAGACCCCTAAAATGAAAGAAATAAGATCAAGAATCAATAAATGGGATGGTATCAAACTGCAAAGCTTCTTCATAGCAAAGGAATCAATCAAGAATGTGAAGAGAGAGCCTACAGAATGGAAGAAATCTTTACCACCTGCACCTCAGCTAGAGCACTAATCTTCAGGATATATAAAGTACTCAACATCAAAAAAACTTAACACCAAAAAACAAACAACCCAATCAATAAGTGGGCCAAGAAACTGGATATATACTTAACAGAAGAAGAAATACAATCAGTCAACAAATATATGAAAAAATGTTCAACATCTCTAGCAATTAGAGCAATGTAAATTAAAACTACACTGAGATTCCATCTCACTCTGGTGAGAATGGCAACTATCAAGAATACAAATGACAATAAATGCTGTCAAGGATGTGGGGGGAAAGGTATATTCATACATTGCTGGTGGGACTGCAAATTGGTGCAACCACTCTGGAAAGCAGTATGTAGTGGATTCCTCAGAAAACTTGGAATGGAACCACCATTTGACCCAGCTGTCCCACTCCTCAGTTTATACCCAAAGACTTAAAATCAGCATACTATAGTGATGTTGCCACATCAATGTTTATTGTAGCTCAATTTACAATAGCTAAACTATGGAACCAGCCTAGGGACCCTTCAACAGATAAATGGATAAAGAAATGTGGTATACATGCACAATGGAGTATTACTTAGCCATCATGAAAAATGAAATTATGGTATTTACAGGTAAATGGATGGATCTGGAGACTATCATGCTAAGTGAAATAAGCCAATCCCAACAAAACAAAGGACAAATGTTCTCTCTCATATGCATATGCTAACATACAATAAAGGGGGTTAAGGTTCATTGAATTAGACAAAGGGGAATGAAGGGGTGGGAGCGGGGATGGGAATGGGAAAGACAGTAGAATGAATTGGACATAATTTTCCTATGTTCATATATGAATACACGACCAGTGAAACTCCACACCATGTACAACCACAAGAATGGGAAGTTATACTCCATGTATGAATAATGTGTCAAAATACACTCTACTGTCATGTATAACTAAAAAGAACAAATAAAAAAATCTCAGACAGGATAAACAATAAATAATAAAAACAAACAAATGAAAATTGTAGGTCATGTTTTCTGTGAAGACTTCCATGACATCTTCTTACTACCCCTGGCTCCCAAACATACACATAAAACATTGAATTACTCTGTCTTCTATACTTTTCCATGATTATCTCTCTGACCAAACTATGAGCTCTGGAAATCACAGCCCATGTTGTGTTGGATCTATACCATGTTAGAACTGTATATGACACAGATTGAATTCTGAGCCCATCTTCTTAAATTAATCCAGCTGAGTCTTGAAGCCTGGATAGGACTCAGGAAGCATAGAGGAGTAAATTTTCTCTGGAGAGTGGAATGGTGTGAGAAAATGTGAGGAGCCAAGAATATACATCTTGTACTAACTGGGAATATTTCATTTGTTTGGTCAGAACTGAGAATTTGCATAGGTTAAAATGTCTAACACAAAAAAGATTCTTAATAAAAATCTGATGAATGAATGAGATTTGAAAGGTAAAGTTTATATGAGATTGAAAAATACCTTGACTACTGAATTGAGAAATCTAAATATTAGCTAGTTCTTAACATCCACATCTATTCTGAATGGTGGAAAGAAGGGGGTGTTCTTGGGCAAGTCCCTTATACATTTTTCTCACTGAATAACTAGGAAAGATAGAGATAAATGGAGTCTAAAAGTGACCTGTTTCCAAACTGAGGGACGAACACCCCATACTGGAATTTTAAAATATCCAAATCCCTCAGGCTAAAGTGTGTCACAGAATATTGACTGAAAGAATAAATAAATAAATTTATTTAATACAAGTCATGCTTGTTTTTTTGTGGGGGGGTTACTGGGGATTGAACTCAGGGGCACTCGACTACTTGAAACATCCCCAGCCCTATTTTGTATTTTATTTAGAGACAGGGTCTCACTGAGTTGCTTAGCACTTCGCTTTTGCTGAGGCTGGCTTTGAACTCACAATCTTCCTGTCTCAGCCTCCTGAGTCGCTGGGATTACAGGTGTGTGCCACCGCACAAGGCTTTCATGCTTGTCTTTGAGAACAGTGTCTGAAATTATTTCAGTCAATATTACTATATTTTTAAAGTTTAAGAAGCATTTATTTATTAAATAACTAGGCTCTAAAACTCGACTCAGGCCTTAGATTATTACAAAGCTCCTTCTGATGCCATATCTCAACTGTTAGACTAACCCCTTTTATTTATTTATTTATTTCAGATTAATTACTTTATTTTTGTGGTATTGGAGATTGAACTGAGGCTCTTGCACATGTGAGACAAGCACTCTACCGCTGAGCTGTACTCCCAATCCTTTTTATTTGGAGCCTGAGTCTCTCTAAATTGCTTAGGCTGGCCTTGAAATTTTGATCCTCTTGCCTCATTTTCCCAAGTAGCTGGAATTATAGGTGAACACCACAGCACCTGGTTTGTTTTTCCTTTTTGATGGAGGGGATCAAACCTAGGGCCTTGTGCATGCTAAGCACATACTCTCCCACTGAGCTTTACTAAACCCATTTAAATAATTTTAGCTAAATTAAGCTGTCCCTGATAAGTAGTTTTCATATTTATCTGGTATTTGTTTTCTGTTTTCTTCTAGATAGGTTTGTGGGAACTGACAGCTTAAGTAATATAAAATAAATTTGATTATGACAACTGAGAAAAAGAAAAATGTGTTGTGTTTTGAGGTTATCATTTCCCTGACCATCTTAACAGACTGGCATCTATTTTATCTTTGTTCATAATGACATAAACCAAAACGATGATGGAATGGGAGTAAAGGATATGAATCTCTGGCTGTTCTGTGAAATAATTTGTTGGTTTTAGGCTTTGGTTCTTTTCAATTTTCAGTCAAAAATTTCAGCTGCAAGAAAATGCAAATATTAGGTAGCATTTAAAAAATCATTTGGGGCCCAATTACAATGCAGCATTATCTTATTCCAGAATGTTCAATATTACTGAGAAGATGTCTTTGATGATGGTCAAAGTGACTTGTAGTTTACAAAGCATGTGGGCATACTTTTTGAAGAAAGTAGACAAGATAATTTGAGCTGTCGTTTCAGGTAATAAAGTAGAATCAAGTGATAAAGCATTTGAGCTGTATGTATAAATAGACTGTGACACTGCTAAATTAGTCACAACTGCCCACTATAGGCCAACTTCACCATAGATAAAGGGCTATAAATCAGTTAGTAAGGCTCCCTACAGCCAGCCCTGAACTGTTTGTAAGCACGAATACAATTCTATGGTTACAATCAACAAAGAAATATCCCATCAGTCCACCAAGCTCAGCCAAACCCATAACTTGCTGCAGTTTTATAGAGATTAGCATATCACGTGAGCCAAATATTATTCTCCAACTTAAAATATGATACTTTTGTGAGAAAGTGTAAGTCCTGTTCTTCAACACTAATGAAACAGAAGCATTCATAGATACTGTGTTCAGTACAAAATGATAATTGAATCATAAATGACTATGAAGAACGATGAGAGAGATGGGGGGGCGGGCAGCAGGTTCTAAAGATTCGGCTGGGGGTGTGTCCTCCGCGCTCGGCTTGCTACTATTGCCATGGAAACTAGAGCGCTGGGTCCTTGGGGATTGTGACTACGAGATGGAAAAGTAGACAGTGGTGATCATTAACTGGTCCTCTTTCCTCCCAGACTCTTACCCAAGACTTCACAGAGAAGCTACTTTCCTAAAGTCCCTCGTGAAGTTGGTGCCCTGAACCTGATACAGAGAGACCGCTGACCTGCTGTTTTGATGGCCACATCTTCGTGTCCCCTTCCATCTCAGGCGGTCCTGCAGCCCTCCATCCATGACCTGTCCCAAATAACCAGCAGCCTTTACATCAGTAACGGTGTGGCTGCCAACAACAAACACATGCTGTCCAGCAATCACATCACGACGGTCATCAATGTCTCAGTAGAGGTAGTAAACACATTCTTCGAGGACATTCAATACGTACAGGTACCCGTGGCGGATGTTCCCACTTCACACCTCTATGACTTTTTTGACCCTATTGCTGATCACATCCACAGCGTGGAAATGAAACAGGGCCGCACGCTGCTCCACTGCGCTGCAGGGGTGAGCCGTTCAGCTGCCCTCTGCCTCGCTTATCTCATGAAATACCATGCCATGTCCCTGCTGGACGCCCACACGTGGACCAAGTCATGCCGGCCCATTATTCGGCCCAACAACGGTTTTTGGGAACAACTGATCCATTATGAATTCAAGTTGTTTAGTAAGAATACTGTACACATGATTGACTCTCCACTGGGAATGATCCCTGACATCTATGAGAAGGAAGTTGGATTGATGATGACGCTGTGAGCCATTCCAGCTAGCCCCTGACATCGTACTGGACCCTACATCAGGACTGAACATGAACTTTGGCGTATGGTTGGTAAAGAAAACCAGAGGAGGCTTTGTAGATGGGCAAGAAAAGGGGGAGTTGGAGTTTTTAATGTAGTAATTCTTATCTTCAAAGAATAAAAATCATTTGATATAAGATAGTGACATGTTTCTTATGTTGTAAGGAGCAAGTCAGGCTGCTGGGGCCTAGTAGGAATAGGGGGTAATGCAGGTAATGCCCAGCTTAGATGGACCTGCCAGTAGCACCTTTTGCATGTGACAGAACAGGAATCCTGAGCCCTGACACAAGCTAAGTAACCCAGGAGTGAGTCCCTCACTCACCCCAAGCCAAAGTCAGAGCCTTAGACATGATAGCAACCATTGTAGTTCTCCTAGTAAGTGCCAACCTACTGCATAAATAGCCTTGAAGCCTTCAAGCTAGGCTCCAGAAGCCCTAGGGTATCCTCATGTCTCCCCTACCACCTTCAACCACAGTGGCCCAACCCTGCTTATCTATACCATATTTATTTGTTTGTTTGTTGTGTTGCAATACTGGGGACTGAACCCAGAGTCTTGCACATGCTAGGCAAGTACTCTACCACTGAGCTACCAACCCCCCACCCCCAACCCCACCCCGCCTCAGCCCCCTGTAAGTTTTTTTGTTTTTGTTTTGTTTTGCAATGGGGTGTCAGTAAATTGCTGAGGCTGACTTGATACTTGTTATATTTCTACCTTAGCCTTCAGAGTAGCTGGGCTTATAGGCATGTACCACCATGCTCAGCTTAGATATTAGTTTTTGAAGAAACCATTCCACTTTATGAAGTTGAGAACATTTTTTTGAGCGCTGGCAAAGTCTCGAGATGTCCTCAGTGAGCTCTTCACAAGCTTTTGTGAAAAGGAACATTAGTTTGTTTCCTAGAGCATGTGCTGACAATAGACCTCAGGGGTTCCTCTCATGGACCTTGGACTGGAAGGCTGGATCTGCTGGACATGACCCAGCCCTGTCACCTCTATAATCTCTTGCCATTGTGAGCTGGGGCCTCTCAGAGCCTCAGTTTCCTGTCAAAGCAACCACAGCCCTTCTCTGAAGTAGTTGTTGTGAGGGTGCTTGACACACTCAGAATAAAGGACAATCATAACTCTTTAGCTCCTTTGGCTGGGGGCTAGCACATTCATCCTTATAATGGCATTTCTCCCTCTTGTGCACAGACTTTTGTTTTTTCCAAAATGTTCTTCCAAGTAATCATCCAATGTATAAAAACAAATGACTTAAGGTCCTTTTAGACACTACTTCAGAGGAAGCCTAGATTTAGAGCCTTTTCAGAGGTTCTTTTGTGTTTAGACCCCCACCCTCCCACCCCAGGCCTTATTTAGAATCATTGACAGAGTCAGCACCCTAGACTTGCTAACCACCAGGATCCTTTGGAGAGCACTTGCCAAAGAGCTGAATGAGTGAGCCTCACAAGTAGGCCCTGGAATACAGGATTGTTCAAATTCCCCAAATGCCTGGAGCTCTGACTTGGGTCCAGTTATTCTAATCCAGAGTTGTTTTTTTTGTTGTTGTTGTTTTTTGACAAATAACAAAAGCACAATCGCTTGAGATGAAGCAGACCCCCAACCGCCCCCCATGAAGTTCAAAAACCCTTTCTCCCCATCCCCATCCCCACACCTACACCCCACAAAGGAAGTGAAGTGGGGAGGGGCAGAGAATGAAAATTGCTGCTCTAGATAGATCCTCTTCTTTTTATAGGTGGAAAAACAGGCCCACAGAACAAAAGGGTTGATGTGGCAAAGTACCCACAAAGTAATCTTTCTGACAGAAATCAAGATGAGAAATTTCTTTAAAAGTATTTTTTTTAAAGAAAAACATTTGAGTATATACATGTGCATGGGTGGGTGGGTATTTCCATTTTTTGAATATCTAAATTAACATATCATAAAATGAACTCATCACACAGTCTAATGAGTTTTAACACATGTAGATTCAGGTTAACTACTACCACAATCAGGATACAGAGTAGTTTCATAACTCCCCAAATTTCCTTTATGCTTCCCCTTTTTACTCAAACAAACCCCAACCTCTGGTAAACACTGATCTATCTTTCTTCACTATAGATTTGCCTTTAACAGAATATCACATAAATGGAATTAAACAAGACATAATTTCTGAAGAGTGACTTCTTTTGCTCAGAATGTTTTGAGACTTACCCATGCTGCGTTTCATTGCTTGATCATTCTACAGTTGTTTTACATCCACCTGTTGAAGGATATTAGGGTTTGTATTAGTTTCATAGGAGATGCCATAACAAATACTAAAACTTCAGTAGCTTAAAACAACAGAAATTTATTTTCTCATAGCTCTGGAGGCAAGAAGTACTAAATCAAGGAGTTGACAGGGCCATGCATCCTTTGGAAACTGTAAGGAGAGTACTCTTGGTTTTTCCTAGCTTCTGGTACTGGCAGGCAATCCTTGACATTTGTTGATTTGTAGATATATCACTCCAGTCTCTGCCTCAGTGGTCATATCTTTTCTAGTGTGTCTTCACATCCATCTTCCATCTGTGCATATCTGTCTCCAAATTTCCCTCTTCTTATATGGATACCAATCAGATTGGGGGCCCATTCTAGTATGACCTTATCAAAACTTTACGTCTAAAATAACCTATTATCAAATGAGGTCATATTCTTAGGTTCTGGGGTTGGAACTTGAGCATATTTCAGTGGAGTGGGAAGGATAAAATACAACCTAAAACAGGGATGTTTCCATCTTGGGGCAATTATATATAAAGTACTATAACATGCAGAAAGAAGAAGATCATGTCATCTGGAAAAAAAAAGATCATAGCTGTTAGAATATGAATTACAGTGAAAATAATAACCACCATTTCTTAGGAAGCAATTATATGTCAGCCACAGTACTAGATACTTTGCAATGTCTAATCCTTATAATAGCCCTTCAAGGTAGTTATTACTCACATTGTATTGATGTGGTTAAGGAATTTGCCTAAGGCAGCACACAGGTCAGAAGCGAAGACCTGACATTCAGACTGGGTTCTGTTTTCCCACATTTCTTCTAAAACAAAAAAAGGATTTTTTTTTAATCACTACCTGCTAGTGATTACAAATCACTAGGGGAGTTTTTATTATATGGATTCCTGGGCCTCATCACTACAGACTGAAGAAGCTGAATGTTTAGCAAGCAACTCTGATGAAGGCTGAGAAACAACCAAGCAGTTAACAAGAGGTATTTCACATTATCTTTCTCTCTTTTGTGAATCATCCATTCATGCTCTTAGGCATTTTTCTATCAAGAGTGTAAATCTTTTTTTTTTTCTTTTCAGTTGTAATAATTGAAATACAAGATAATTTCTTGTCAAAAATGTTGTATGAAGGGCTGGGGATGTAACTCAGTGGTGAGAACACTTGCCTAGCATGCATGAGGCTCCAAGTTCAATTCCTAGCATTGCAGCAAAAATAAATAAATAAATAAAAAATTTAAAGAATGTTGCATGTATTTCTCCCACTTTATGATGCCATTCATGTCAATTTTTAATGGTACTTACTTGGGAATTGAAGGTTTTTTTTTTGTTGTTTTGTTTTGTTTTAGTACTAAGGATTGAACCCAGGGGTACTTAATCACTGAGCCCTTTTTATTTTTTATTTTGAGACAGGGTCTCACTAAGTTGCTTAGGACCCCAATAAGTTGCTGAAGCTGGCCTCAAACTTGTGTTCCTCCTACCTCAGCCTCCCAAGTCACTGGGATTACAGTCATTTGTCACCACACCTGGCCCCAAAGTTTTAATTTGTATGTAGCTGAATCTATAAGGCTTTAACTGAATGAATAATATATTAAATGTTTTCTCCATTGCATAATTATAAAAACTTTATTATTATTTTCTACTAATTTATGCTTTTTTCACTTTTAAAACTTTTCCCTAATTTTTTTCACTTAAAAATTATCAAACACCCTGAAAATTGAAAGAATACTACAACGAACACTTGTATTTGCTCCACTTATGTGAGTCAATAACTATCTTTTATCACTTTTGTTTTCTCTTTTACTCATTGTAATTTTATTTGTGATCTATTTGAGTAAGTTGAAGATATCATGATATTTCATCCTCAAATATTTTAAAATGCATCACCTAAAAATAAGAACATTATAATAAGTACAATATCATCAAATGTAAGCCAGTTAATTAACAACAATTCCCTAATTTGATTCACATGCCAGGCGAGTGCACTACCACTTGAGTCACATCCCCAGCCCAATATAGCTGTTTTTCTTTCTCAAAGAAGATCCAACCAAGTTCACATACTGCACTTCATTTTTGTATTTCTTTTAATACAAAACAGTGACCCTATTTTTTATTCTCCCTGACATTGTCTTTTTGATGAGTCCAAAACAAATTTGTACTATAGGGTTCAGTAATCTGGACTTGCCCTCATGCTATTGTTTAATTTGGTCCTGTATCACTTTTATTCTTTAAACTGGAAGTTAGGTCTAGAGGTTTGATTAGATTTGGATTGTGACTTTTTACTAGAATACATCACGAGTAGTTTCATGTTGCATTGTATCAGGAAGTACAGGTATCTATTTGTCCCATTAGCAGTGATGCTAAGTTTGATCACTTAGTTAAGGTGGTAACCACCAAATATCTACCTTTAAATTTACTAAGTAATCTTTGGGATGATACTTTAGCAACATGAATATCCTGTTACTTTCATCCAATGGTATTAACATCCATTAATGGCTCTTGCTTTAATTAATTAATATACTGGGCCATATCTAACTCTTAAATACATCCTAAACTAATTTTGGCATATTATTTAAGTTGGAATTATTTAATTTTTAAAAACAATTTCAAGATGTCACAAAAATGCCATA